GGGTGGGGTAGGGAGTAAACAATAGGATAGAGCCCAAAGAGAGAGAAAGACAGTTGGACACACAAAGGAGTTGCTAACGATCAGGGACTGTTAGAGACTAACAACATATCTCCCTTTTCCCTGGCCAACATCTCTGTCTCTGGCTTGCTGCAGTGATTCAGCGAAGCCCAGCGCAAGCTGGAAGAACAACACCTCATTTTCCGCTTGGGGACCCTGCAGCCCTCTGGACTCAACATTGAGTTCAATAATTTTAGGGCCTAAACTCTCACATGCCCCAGTCCCCTTCCCCACACACCAGGCCTTGTTACCACATAGCCTGCCATTACACACCCACTGTTGTTCGTCACTAACAGCCCCCATTAACAACTACTCACCCTCCCAACCTGATCTTTAGCAACTCCTTTGTCTGTCCAACTGTCTTTCTCTCTCTTTGGGCTCTATCCTATTGTTTACTCCCTACCCCACCCACCTCCCTATTTCCTGCATATAAACTGACATTTTCCCAGCCACCACCAGTTCTGAGGAAGGGTCACCAGACCCAAAACGTTAACTCTGTTTTTTCCTTCACAGATGCTGCCAGACCTGCTGAGCTTTTCCAGCAACTTTGCTTTTGAAAGTGACCAGGTCATCTGTTTTAGTGACACTGGTTAGGAGAGAAATACTGATGGAGGAGAACTCCTACTCCTTTCTAAAATAATGGCATGCAAACTCTGTTGCAAATCCCTCGCGGGGAAGATGGGTTGACACTTTCATGTCTTGTCCTAAAGGTGGCATCTCTACCAGTGGAGTGCTCTCTCAGTGTGGCACTGGGGGAACAGCCTGAATTCTTCACTCTGCAGTGGGACATGAACGGATAACCATTTCACTTAGAATTAGCTCAGCCAGCTTCCCTCGCATGGTCCGTGCAGGAACAGTGAGAATATCCCAGCATCAACCCATCACTGAACTTAACATCCATACCCTGCACCACTGTGTCACCAATATGTATGAGTAACCCTTGTATGTGGAGCTATGTCCTTCACACAGGGAGCTATGGTCTTTGTATGGTGAGATATGATCTTTGTACAGGGAGGTTTGACCTTTGTTTTGGGGAGGTATGACCTTTGTACATGGAGATTTGAAGATTGTTTGGGGAGATTTGACCTTTGTACAGAATGGTTTGATCTTTGTGTGGGGAGATATGACCTTTGTACAGGGAGATATGACATTTGTCTGGGGAGATATGACCTCTGCACAGTTGGTTTGACCTTTGTATGGGGAGATATGACCTTTGTACAGGGAGATATGACCTTTGTACAGGATGGTTTGACCCTTGTACAGGGAGATGTGACCTTTGTCTGGGGAGATATGACGTCTGCACAGGATGGTTTGACCTTTGTATGGGGAGACATGAGCTTTGTACAGGATGGTTTGACCTTTGTACAGGGGATATGACCTTTGTATGGGGAGACATGACCTTTATACAGGTTGGTTTGACCTTTTTATGGTGAGATATAACTTTTGTACAGGGCTGGAGGAGGATTGACTTTTGTAAAGGAAGACATGACCTTTATATGGGGCATTTGACCTTTGTAAAGTGAGATTTGACCATAAGACATAGGAGCAGAAATTAGGCCATTCGGCCCATCGAGTCTGCTCCACCATTCAATCATGGCTGATAAGTTCCTTAACCCCATTCTCCTGCTTTCTCCCTGTAACTCTTGATTCCCTTGATAATCAAGAGCCTATCTATCTCAGTCTTAAATGCACTCAACGACCTGGCCTCCACAGCCTTCTATGGCAGTGAATTCCATAGATTCACCACTCTCTGGCTGAAGACGTTTCTCCAAATCTCCGTTCTAAAAGGTCTTCCCTTTACTCTAAGGCTGTGCCCTCGGGTCCTAGACTCTCCTATCAACGGAAGCATCTTCCCAACATCCACTTTGTCCAGGCCATTCAGTATTCTGAAAGTTTCAATTAGATCCCCCCGCATCCTTCGAACCTCCAATGAGTATAGTCCCAGAGTCCTCAAACGTTCCTCATATGTTAAGCTTTCCATTCCTGGGACTATTCTTGTGAACCTCCTCTGAACCCGCTCCAGGGCCAGTACATCCTTCCTGAGATATGGGGCCCAAAACTGCACACAATACTCCAAATATGGCCTGACCAGAGCCTTATAAAGCCTCAGTAGTACATCCCTGCTTTTATATTCAAGTCCTCAAAATAAATGCCAACATTGCATTTGCCTTCCTGATAAATGCCAACATTGCATTTGACCTTGAAACATTGAGGTTTGAACTTTATACAGGGGAATTTGGCCTACATACTGTGGGATGTGACCTTTACACATACAACGTTTATTGTACGCAGTGAGATTGAGCTTACAGTGAGATTTGACCTATATGTATAGGGAAGTTTGACCTAAATACTACATATAAGATAGTTAATCTCTATCCAGTGAGATTCAACCTATATATAGTGATTATGACCTTTATAGAGTGAGATTTGACCTAGATATATAGGGAGGTTTGACCTATATGTATAGGGAGTTATGACCTAAGAACACAGAGATTTCACCTTTCTAGTGGAGTTAGACCAAATGGAGTTTGTTCATTGACTTCAGGTAGTGGAGTGGAGGGCACGCCCCTGTCTTCATCAGTGGTACTGAGGTGGAGATGAACAAGTGTCAATATCCTGGGAGTGATGATTGCCAATAATCTGCCCTGGTCTACCCACGTTGATGTGACTGTCAAGAAAGTACAACACCTCTACTTTTTCAGGAGGCTAAGGAAATTCAGCACGTCCAC